GACTGATTTAGACTTGACTATATAAGATGCAAGGTTCATTCGCCTCCCACTGTCTCCTCTTCCTCTACGTTTCCCTGTTACTTCCTACTTGTTGTCTTTTTTTTTTTTGCTTTCATTATAGGAAGTCTTGAAAATACAAAATAGCTCCTCAGAAAAGTAGAGTGGGAAAGCATTTTTTAGTTTTAAGTGGGATATATCCTTTCTCATGTGACAGCATTATCCTTAGAGCCTTAATTTTAGAAGAAACGTTATGAGACATGGATGGTGAATGTTTTCAAATGTGTTTCAGCAGCCAGAGTTCAGACTTGGCTCAGGATCAGAGGACATGGAGGCCACTGCAGTACAGTCCCCAGGCTGTGCTTCCCAGGCATCTCCCCAGGCCCTATCTTCTTGCCTTTATCTAATTTCTGCTTCTCTGTCCACTTCCTGGCTCTCTGTCTGCTGGCCCTGGTCCTGGCTTTACCCCTAGATGCTACCTCTGGGACACCCTTTTACAGCCCACACTCAACCCACCTCTGGATCCCTGGGCTTCCGCTTATCAGGTATTAAGTTCCAACATCTTTTGAAATGATCGTATGGGCTTTTCTAATGTGAGGTGATAGATTATTTTAAAAATAATTTCCACATATTAAAATATTTTTGCATCTGTTACAGTAAATGTAACTTGGTATTAGATTTTTTTTTTTTTTTTACAAAAGTGCAGTACAGGTTGAATTTGACTTGCTAGTATTTTATTTAGGATTTTTATAACAGAGATTGACCTATGCAGAGGCTGCAAACTGGTGACTCATGGGACTTGTTTATGTGACCAGCAGAGGACTTTGAAGCATTTGATTTTAAATTCCTGAGTAAGGGGCACACACTCTGCAGTTCCTGTAGCTCCCTGTCAGCTTATCCCTGTCATTTCATACACCAGTCAACTTCACCCAGTTATGTTACTTTCTGGCTCTTACAGACACTTGAGTTTATAGTACCTGGTCTATGGTTTTCTTTGCTCTTTTTTTATTTTCTTATTTTTTTTTTAGTGGACTTCAGAATCATAATTTACAACACAAATTGAGGAGCATTCTTTCTTTATTCTGTGTATTGAAATAATTTATACAACAATGGGAATTGATGTATAATAACAATAATAGACCCTGCTGTCCCTTAAACATTAGAAAAACTTTGCCAGCAAAAGCACATAACCCAGGAGTCCTTTAGGGAGCTAATTCTTCAGTAACTTCTATTTTTTCTTCCTCCTGGTTATTGATGTATTCAGAATTTTGTGCTCTTTTTTGGGTCAATATTGAAATTTATTAATCTTTTTCTGGAGAAGAATTTAAATGCTCCATTACATCTCTCTTATTTTTCTTTCTCTGTTATTTTGTATCTATTGTATGTCAACAGTATGAATTATTCCAAAATGAAAGGGTCATAGCGCTTTCATTTTTCTATTTAGCCAGCTGAGAGCCCATATGTAGTATTAGCTTTCTCTTTGGTCCTCTGAATTGTTTAAAAGCCGCGTGGGGGGAGCATGCTGTTTGTTCACAAAAGGGGTGTCAATGAGACTCCCACCTCCAAGCATGGAAGTAGGAAAGCACTTTGAGTGGAACGTTCTGCTCCTGCAAATCATCTTACTGTCACATGGAGTCACTGTAGGAAGCTGCCTAGATGGGCTTTTCCTGGTCTGTTCCACACCCCTGCCCGGCTCACTAAAAAATGCCCATTACTTGAACTCCCAGGGTTGCAGTCTCTGTGTTCAGCTCTTTCACCCCCAAACTCTACCAACTAGTACATTTCCATTGTGAGAAGTAGAAATTCCATCTCCAAGTGACTTCAACTTTAACAAGAGGAAGGTTGGAAAGTTCATGCTTTGACATACTCTCTATATTCCAAACAATTAACAATGAGAGAAAAGAAATTTAAAGACATTAATAAGACATAAACAGTCTGGAAGACAGGATAAACATATCAGCAGACAAGAAAGAAAAGTAACTGGGAGGCAAGGTGGTAAGGCCAAAGCCAAAGGCTTTGGGGTAGTGGGAGCTAAAATGTTGCACAAGGAATAGAGGATAAAATCAGACTCTCTTGGTTGAAGCCAGAGACTAGAGTGAGGCTGAAAAAAAGGACAACTGACCAGCTCTCAGGAACTATGGCCAAAACTGTAGGCCTAAGGAGGTGGCAGAACAAAGACAGCCTCACAACCAAGAATTAGGTCAAACCATCTTCCAACTCTATGACTGAGTCTGCAATACCCCCAAATCAATGAAGAGCACAAGTTCACAGCTGCCATCAAAAGACCAGTTCTGGACTAGTCTTGTGGATGCAACCACAAAACTAAATCCACCAGACAAGAAAGAAGAAAGAGAAAAACAGAGCACAAAGCAAAAGCAAAAATTCCCAGCCATAATGAGACTGTAAGCCAAAATTCCAAAGGACATGAGCACATGAAGAGATCAAATGCCAAAAAAGATGACCAACTCAACAAATGAAATATGAACTCACAGATGAAGAAACTGATTTTTTTGGACTAATCTAGAAAAGACCTGAAAATAAGGATGCTCAAAGAGATAAATGTTTCATGATAAACAAGAATCATGAAACAATGCAGATGAAAATGAAATGAATATATAGGTATGAAATTAAAGCAATTATAAATTTCAGTAAAAAAATATAGTCATGAAATTTGAAAATGTCTCAGAAGATGGGATGAATTTTAGACTGGATATAGTTGAAGATAAAATCAGTGAATTGGAAGACAGTTCTGAAGAATCTACACAGAATGCAGCAAGAGGAAATAAAGAGATTAAAAATAAAAAAGAACAGTTCAAAGAGCAGAGCAAGAGAACAGCTTGAGAGACTCCAAAATATGTCCAATAGGATTTTTAGAAGAAAAGAATACAGAAAATGTCAGGGAAATAATATTGAAGATATGATAGCTGAGATTATTCCAGAATTGTAGAAAAAAATTAATAATACAATAGGATCTTTATTTTTACCCAATCTGATAATCTATGTCTTTCGAAGTATGTTTAAACAGTTCACATTTACTGCTATTAACTATTTAGTTAGACTTTCTTTTACTATTATGCTATATTTTCTGCTCACCATCCTTATTCTTCACATTTTTTTTCTTCTCCTTTTCTACCTTCTATTGAATTGATAAAATCTTCTATTTCCCATTTCTTTCCCAGTAATATCAGGTTTGGTACAGCTTTTGTCAACTTATTTGATGCCTTCTGCTTTTTTTATACCTTCTTGTGTTTTAATCACCTTTTCACCCCATTGGTGAGGGAAGGATTACCGCCCTAGAATTATGGGGATGGCTGAACACATGACACTCAATTCTGGGAAGTTTATTAGTCACATAAACTCACTGTCCAGGGGAAGAAGTCACAGCATACTGTGCAGGGCCATATGGGGTTGCACTCAGGAGGAGAGTGAACCACCAGGGACTGTAGGAGGCAGGGATTATGGTATCAAAAGAGTGAGATGAACCCTGGTCTTCATGGGAGGAAGTTACTGGCTTATTGTAATAATTGTGCAGGCGAGCAGGGAATTGAAACCCACTTCTCTGGAATAAGCAGGACCTGCTGCTGGTCCCCTTGATGGGGAGAGTTGTTTGGCTGGGGGGCTTTACTGGGGGAGCAGCGTGGGGAGGGGAAGTTATAGCTAGGCCATTCAAGGCCCTCCCAGTTTCACCACGTGCCAAGGCAGCATTTAATATTGGGCCTTAGCTTTAGGCCTAACACACATTTTGCTGTTAATTTTCTTTTTAGTGCTGTGTAGACTGCTTACTATAATCCTGGATAATTTAGAAAGCAAGAATTAGAGTTCTTGTACAGGAACCATACCACAATAAAGATGTTCTAGAAAAAAAAGAATGAGAATTCTTTATTAATTCTACTTGGTTTGCCTTAAAGATTTTCAGAGGTTTTTGATATGGCATTCAAAGATCATATAGAAATAGAGTCCATATAGAAGTGTACTCTTTGCTCCCTGTTGTGAAAAATAAGCTGTCCCCAATTCATTCCCACTTTTTCTTAATTTTATCTGAGATCATAAACTTCATTATTTTTATTTATAATAGCTAACATCTTTGAAGGAAAAATACTTTTTTGACTCTTCGACGTGAAACTTAAACAATTATTTAGAGTAATGCACATATAGTCACTTTAAGTTGTGTAACTAAAGTTGCCCTTTGCCAAGAGGATAATTTTAAAGACTGGGTTAAATTTTTCAAAGGAAGGCATATTTACTGCAACAAGTCAGTTCAAAAGTGTTTCAGAACAGGCAACGATCTCCCTTTCTTTCCCCACTACTCCAACGCTTTAGCATTAACCAGCCTTGACGATTTGCTTGTTCCTTCCACATTTTTCTCTCTGCAGATGCAGACCCTTTGATAGGCTCCCCCTCTATGTTTTACAGAAATGGGATCACACAGAAATTATTCAATTGCTTGCGTTTTAAAATAACCATTTTATCATAGACATTCCTCTAGGTTTGTTTTATCATAGACAGTCTTACAGGTTAATACATATATAGCTTATTCTTTAGAAATAGCTACATGATGGTTATTACTTTCATATAGATGCACCACAATTTATTAAACCATGAACTTGTACTAGGTCATCGCTAGTTACTTTGCCACCATACATATTGCTGCAAGAAGAATTGTAGTTCATATATCTTTATATACTGGTGTCTTTGTTTGTATGTGATAGGTTCCCAAGATTGAGATGAGTATGTACATATTAATTTTTTAAAGATATTGCCAAGCAATGAAATTATTCTGTATGATACTATAGTGATGGCTACATGTCATTATGCATTTGTCAAAACCCATAGAATGTACAACATCAAGAGTGAACCCTAATGTAAACTATGGAGTTTGTTTGATAATAATGTGCCCATGTTGGTTCATCGATTGTACCAAATATCCCTCACTGATGAGGGATGTTGAGGGTAGGGGAGTATATATGTGTGGGTGGGAAAGGCTATGTATGAAACTCTGTATTTTCTGCTCAATTCTGTTGTGAACCTGAAACTGCTCTAAAAGAATAAAGTCTATTATATATATATATATATTATATACACACACACACACACACACACACACACACACACACACATATATATAAAAGCAAATAAAGATATTGCCAAAGATTGCAAAAAAAGATGCTAGCAATTCATATTTTGGGGGGGAAATATATGAAAGTCTTCCTTTCCCTGCACCTCTAAGCAGATGATTCAAGCTGGATTCTTTTTTCTTATTCATGAGTTTTTGCATCTGATTTTTTTTCTAGTGTCCTAGCATATATTTTCAAGAAGAGTATATGACTTATTCAAGAAGAGTATTCGAGGGGATTATTTTTTTTAAAAACTTCCACATCTGAAAAGGCCTTTTTGTTGCCTTCATCATGAATGACAACATGGCTTTTCCTTTAGGTTTTTCTGAATCAGTATATTTCAAACTACAGGGCACAACCCCTCAATTTGAAACAATAAGAGTGCATTTTAAGAAACATAAAATGATATAGACAAGAATAGAAAATATTAAAGTGCATTGAATGTAGTAAAGATAGTTATTGCATCATGAATGTCTGAAGTTCTAAGTAAGAAGATTTAAATTTTGATATCCTTTATCCTGCTACAAATACTATATATAATATTTATATATGTTAACAAAGTAAAGTGTAGTTCTAACAAATTGAGGTTAAAAAATGGCCATTTACTTCCCTGGATGTTGTGAGAAGTCTGAGATCATTTTAATTTAGGCTCTTTGCTTTTATTTCCTAGTCTGTAAGATCCTTATTTATCACTCCTCTCCCTAATGTAAACTTCTTTTTAAAATTATTTTTAATGCACATTTTAAAAAACAAACAATAGAACTGAGGATATAAAGAAAATAAAATCTCTCTCCCTCTTCAGTTTCCTGTTCCAAGGGTGTGTGTGTGTGTGTGTGTGTGTGTTCCAGAAATTTTCTTAACTTTTTTTCTTTGAGAATTCCACCATAGTGTGTCTAAATGCGGTAATCTTTTTATTAACTTTGCTCAGGACTCAGAACATACTCTCATTTCCAACTGAGTTCTTTCTGTGTCCCAGAAAAGTTTCCTCCTCTCATGTCTTTGATTACTGTTTTTGCTTCATCTATTCTTTTCTCTCCGGAATTCCTCTTATTCCCAGGTTACATCCCCTGTGTCTGCCTGCCTGCCTCTTTCCTTTTCATCTCTTTACCATTTTACCCTTGCCCATGTTGATTTTATTTTCTGCAGTGTCTTGCCTGCTATTTACAGCCTGCATTATGGGTTTGAATCCAGCTATTGTGGTTTCTGTCTCCCTGCTACACTTCCTGCTCTCAGATTTCTGCCTCTTTATCATGATCTTTTCTAGTTTCTAGATCTTTTCCAAAGCACCTTGGAATCTTATTGAGAATTCGAATCAGATATTCTGATGTTTTTTAAAAATGTGTGTTGCAGTAAATCTTTTTTGTTTTCCCCCAGGAGGCAGCTTCCTAGAACCTTTGGGGGATGTTTATTTTGAGCTGCAGAATCTTCCCAGATTCTGAGTTTTCTTTGCCTCATCCTCACAGAGGAAGGTCAGTCTACCCAGTGTGACTGTCAGGGTGGAACCTTGATTTCCCTGGTTTTATTTTTCCACGTGGGGATGAGATTAAAGTTGCCGGTGGTGGGCTGTGCCTGCCACCCACTCTCAGAGGAATCTGATTGGCAAATCAGTTCCTCAGCTTGTTTTCTGGCTACTCTTTGCCTGGTAATAATTGGCTTGGCCCTGTAGGGGGCAGTGTATCAGGGGCTGACGGCAAGTTTTATTACTTACAAGTTTTCAGGAAGACATAACCACTGCAAATAAGTTAATCAAAGGCTTTAGGGAATTCCAGGCAGGGTGCCTGCCTGCTTTTCTGCTCCATGGAGCCACCAGCTGCTCCTCAGGGCTCCTCTGTGACTGGGCCCAGGTGTGACCAGCCAAGGTCCCAGAGTGCACTGGGGGTGGTGTGAGAGCTGCAGGTATGCACCCTCACACCCCATCAACCCTGGGCCACCCTGGCCTCCAGCCCTACCTGATGGATGAAGGGGACTCCCTGGGTAGCTAGCATCCCCACTTTGTCCTGAATACGTGGGCCCTGCCCGATGGGGTACCAGGCTGCCTTCTTTCGAAGATGCCTTGTTTGGTCCCATAAGGTGCAGTCTGGCAGAGGGTCCTCGAGTTTCCCTGGTGTGGATGGCTAATATGGTCCCCTTTTCTGATGGCCATTTCCAGGGTGTTTTGTTCCCAGGAGGGAGGGAAGCCAAGAATGATATCCAAAGAGTGCTGTGTATGCCTCCCTCCTGCGGGAATTCCCAGCTGGGTTTTGCTCACTTATTCACAATTTTTGTGTCTACTTGAACACTTGAAAACAAGGAAACTCAATTTTTTTCCTACTCTTGTGCTACATTCCAGGCTTTTGGGATCTCTTTTATCCCAGTTACCATGATACAATTTTCCAGTGATTAAAGGCACTGAAGGCAGAGACTTCTGTTGGATGGAAGAGACACGGGTCTGGGTAACTGGTGAACACTACTTGGGCCCTCCCCTCTGTGGGCAGAGGTGGGCGCATGATCACCCGGGCCCTCCCCCTCCCCCACCCGCCTCCCTCACATCCCTCAGCCTCCCCTCCTTACTCCTCATTTGTTGGCAAGTGCTCCGCTCTTGGCCTACTCAGACTTTAAAGGCTTCCTCTCCTCCTTTCTGATTGTGAAAACACATAAAGAGTCACCTTCTGTGCTTTTAACATTTAAAAAACTATCACAGAGGGGCTAGCACAGCTAAAGCCATTCCCAGGTAATCAAGCCCCCCACCCCCCGCAGGTGTTTGCACCAGAGATGATGCAGCAGAAGAGCCAACAAGAAGGCCCAGGGCAGGGCTGTAAGTGGGTGTGTGGAGGCCAGGAGCCCTTGGGAAACCTTGATGACCAGACCTGAACACACCGCCTTTTAAAAAGTAGAAGCAGTTTTGTGGTGGACACTTGAATTCACCTTTGTGCCAAGGCTGATTGTTATTTCAGTCAAAACACCAGGAGAAGACATGAGTTCTGTGACGACCAGCAAGCTCCCACTTGTCCTTTCTGGGGAGGACCCTGGAGTCACTGACCAGTCCATGCCCAGAGGTGAAGTAGGTGGTCTACTTCCAAATATTACTGAGGTGCACATTTGGGTAGAACTGGACCTCGGTCTACAGACTCACAGCTTCTCAGAATGGATTTTTGATGGTCTGTGTCTTGTATGTATGTGTGTGTGGTTCACATGCCCACAGATCAGAGCACCAAGCCCTTGCTGTCATGGGGCTGACAGTCTACTGAAGAGAGCTACATGATACACAAGCAGATAAATGAACAGGAGCGATTTAGACAGTGATAGGTGTTACAAGGATCATAAAACTGGCTGAGGTGACAGTGAGGGGCTGGGTGGCTCTTGTACAGGGTGTGTTTGGGGAAGGCCTCCTGGAGCAACGTTAGGAAAGGCAGTACAGGTCAGAAGGAGTCAGCCAGGAAGTCAGTTATCCTCAAAGATCCTGAGGGTGAGTGTCCCAGGACGAGCAGAAGTCCTGCAGCAGGAGTGAGCTGGCTGCATTCTTGGCACAGAGTGAGGGCTCCAAGGGCTGCAAGTTGATGAGCAAGGAGGGGAGACGAGGTAGGAGTGGTGGCCAAGACCAGGCCATGTACCCGAGGGCAGCTGCCCTGTCCACGGCAACCAGTGGGAGTGGTCAAAGAGACGTCAGAGGCCCTGGATGATGGGTCCAGGGTCAGTGAGAGGCAGTAGAAAGTGTTTCTCTATCTTCTCCTTTTCTTCTCTCCCCTCAAACTTCCAGTAAAACCTTTAGCAGTTGGAACCTAGTCTCCTACTAGTACGTAGAAGTCCTTGAAGGGTCTGGGCCAGTGTCAGGGATGAGGAGGGTTAGCTTGAGGGAGGCTGGGGACAGGCTGTGACAGAGGGGCAGTGGGTGAACAGAGCAGAGCAGCAGGAGGGGCAGAAGGCTAGGTGAGACGGCAATAGTCCCCCGTAGATCCTCGGAGTGCTTGGGAAGGCTGGACTTCCTAGGGTTGAATGGGATGGAACTGGAGCCCCTGTGACTTGTGTGCATTTTGTGGGCCCAGGCTGCTGAGGCCAGGGTGTGCTGATAACACAGCTCTGATTGCAGCATCCTCAGATAGCTGGGGGACCTGGCTGATTCTAGCTGAGCTGTGAAATTGGTGGACTAGGGACCCTGTGGGCTGCTTCTGTCTGAAATGATACACATGGGGGCATGGGCTTTTGTGCTGAAGGAGGGGGCAGGAGGATTTCTTGGACTCACTTTTTTTCATTCATGCGATAAAGTTTCTTGAGCATCTATTATGTGCTAGGTACTGATCTGGACAATAGATACAATGGTGAATAAAATGGGCAAAAAATACCTTCTCTCATGGAGCATGTGCCACGGAGCATGTGTCACTGTGCATGCGCACACATGCACACACACACATAGTAGAAAATCCAGGAGAGAGAGGAGGAGAAGGGAAGGAATGAAGCGGCCATGTGTCCTGGCCCAGCTGGAGGAACTGGTGTGGAACCTTGATAGAGACAGGTATAGGGATGGCAACTCAAGGAGGGGAGGAGAGGAGTGGCTGGCAGCAGTGAGGATGACAGAGATGACTTCCAATCCCAGCTCTGCCTTCTGATCACATAAGATAATGTGTGTAAAGTGACAGGTGATGCTGGGGAAGACTGCTGTAGGCTGGGCACCACCCCCACAGCTCACCTGCCACCCCCAAGCCAGAGGGAGCCAGGGCATTCTGGGAGAATGGCAGGTGAGGTTTGCAAGTAGGACTGAAGCCCAGTGAGAGAACCTCAGGACAGTCCTTTCTGCCCTTGCTGAGGGACTCTGCCTTTCAGAATCCCCAGGGGTGATTTCTGGCCACAAACTGCTTTCTGCACACACCTGCTGGGCTGTTTCCCACCTCGGCACCTTGGCATCTGCATTGCCCTCTGCGTGGCAGGCCTGTGACCCCAACCTCCCCAGACCCTTTTGGGATATCACATCCTCTTTGCACCGATGCCCAGCACTTTGGATCCTCCCCACTGTAGCCCTCTGCGCCCAGTGGCAGGTGACCTGTGAGCGCCTAAAGGCTCTGACGGCTGGGATGACATGGTATTCTGGTCCACCTCCCAAGCACTTAGTAGGGGCTCCATAAATGTGTATGGAATGAATATTTGTGTTAAGGGAACTTAGGAATTCTGGGAAGCAGGGCCTGTGGGTGACAGGGGTGCCCACAGGAGTCTGGGTGAGGGCATACCTGCTCTGGCTGGTTAGAAGTCTTTGAAGTCCGCCTGCTCGTGGGCCCCCTCGCAGCCAGCCAGACACCGGGCAAAGATGGCCAGGTACTCGGCCAGGGCCCGCTCCCTGTCCTCCGTGCTGCTGCGGGAACCCCCGCTGTTGTAGAGCTTCACAGCCCGGAGGAAGACGGCCTCCTCGGGCTGGGCCTGCAAGTTCGGGAGGGGCCCGTCGGTGGTGATCGCATGCTTCGGGTTCTTCTGGAGGAAGGTGTAGGCGGCGGCCACCGCCTTCTCCAGCCGGTTAGCCTGCGGGGCGGGGGACAGAGCTGGTCAGCGAGGCCAGAGCCCGCAGCCCCGAGCGCTCGGGAGGACTCGGAGGTCAGGGTGCTGGGTGAGAGCCGCGCTCCTGCCGACCGGACGGGGTGCTCACCTTGAACTGTGCGTAGTGAAGGTACTGGTAGGGCAGGTGGCTCTGGAAGTCACGCAGCAGCTGGCGTGGCGGGTAGGGCACCTGGAAGGCGGGCGGAGAACGCTTACAGCGCCCAGGCAGGCAGCGCGCTCCAGGACATGGCTGAAGAG